AGCTAAGCTCGCGCTGATCAAGGCACATCACTTATTTGCACTGTTGGCGTACGAGTCTAATCTGAAGGGGTTCAGCCGGAGAATTTCAAGGGATAACTCTTTGATTTCTGAAATTCAGCAATGTTCAGCGTTCAGTCATGACGCGAGGCAATCACGTGCAGCGGTCACAAAATGGTCGGGCTTTGTGCCGTATAAAATAAACGCGCTCTCGTGTCCCCGACCGTAAACGAGGCTGTTGGCCCGATCAAGAACGTACCATTTACGGCCACAGATTCTGCCGACAGTTAAAGATCAAATTGGTAAGATGAGGCCATTCACTTTTATTTTGGCGCATGCATCCGCACTTATTTTTGTATTCGTAAACTGACGAAAGTGTCTGTATGCAATTCGACCGATCGTGAGATTCATACCATAGATTGTCATAGGCAGAACCATTATGTTGATAGATTTTTATAAATAGGTGTTTACTATTACAGTAGTCACTCATTCTATTATTATAACAGTTTCGAGTGTCGATCCTATTTGTTAAAAATTACACATGATATAAATTGTAATGACGACGCAAAATTTTGTAAGGACATGAGCTGACGTGATGCATGCATTTCAGGAATGGAGTTTGTTGTTGGGTTGATAATTCCTCTGTCGATCATTAGAAGTTCTGAAGTAGAGAAGGTAAGAAAAGGATTAGATATATCGAGACGTAAACACGAATTAATAGCAGGAAGAAAATTCGGTTGACACGAAACACAGTAACAAAAACTCATGTCAGCTACATACAAATAAAAATAATACCCATACAAGCAAAAAATGAAGTGAGCAAAACGTACAGTAGACAAGACGTTCGGTATAGACAATAAGTACAGTAGACCTGACGTTAGTACAGTATGTAGACCTGACGTTCAGTATAAACTATAAGTACAGCAGACATGATTTTCTTTATAGACTATAAGTATAGTAGACATGACGTTCAGCCTAGACCATAGGTACTGTCTAAAAGTCTAAAACGATGAAACCCCTGTACATATGACGTGACCACATACAGCGACGTAGCCGACCAGTCGCGTCTTCATCTTCGCTTGTGTTGCTGAAGTCGGGTAACCGGTAACGGTTACGCTCGCTTCCTTAGATTTAGAAACCATAGTTCAAGTGAATATATTTGACTATACTCAGCCTTGAAATGTAAACTTTAGTCAATTAATTTGCATCCAAATAGATCTTTGATGGAAGCAGCACGTTACAATTTAATCATGTGTCTGGTTGTGACGATTCATATGGACTCCTTTCATTTACAGCCAAACAGCAACCTGTTCACGTTTTTCTGTTCAAGTATTTTCAATTGTACCTATCCTTAGTCAAGCTTTTCGTTTACATTTAAGCCACGGATATGGCGGCATTGTACTTTGCTTGACGTCTTGTCATCCGACGTCTGTCGTCCTGTCATCCGACGTCTGTCGTCCTGTCCTCCGACGTCTGTCGTCCTGTCATCCAACGTCTGTCGTCCCGCCACACGACTGGAGTCTACTATAGTCTACTACAAGCGTAGTAGACTATAGTAGTCAGTACAAGCGTAGTAGTCTAGATAAGTCTACTACTACCCGGGACTGACGTGCGCGCTTGGTCGTGGAGGTGAGCCGTGTGGGCTGTCAAGGTCCTTGGCTCATGATCGAGGCGTGCGTGCTGCTGTCTTATTAATCCTTAAAGAATCTTACATCCGCAAAAAAACTTACGAGAACTGTATAACTGTATAATTATAACTGTATAACTATAATCAAATTTAATACGGTAATACCTTAACTAACTTGATCCTATGCCTATGACTTTTCACCATAACCATAAATATTGGTGTTTCCACAGCCTTGGACCCGTATGCTGGTGGACGAGGCGAGTGCACCATCCAGTCTGTCGAAACTTAAATCTATAGGTTCAAGCCCTAAATCATTGTCACTTATTTGAATAAATATCGAGTTAAATCTAATTTTAATAATTTTTTCGCCTCCGTTTTTGTTATGGCGGTCAGTATAAATCTGACTCTATTAACGTGTTAACTTATTTAACTATCTTTCAGCAGGCTTTGTGGGAGTCCCAATTAAGAGCTCATTATGGCTCCATCTAAACTTGATATACTTGTAAGAACGTTATGTTATGCGCAACCAAGTTATGTGATAAAATTGACATTGAATTTATAAATCTTTCTCCTGAACAGTAAACTGCATACGTGAATAGGTTGCTGAGTGTAAATTCCGAAATAACTTATTTAAATAACTCTATCCTTACCCTAACTATTGAAGCTGAGCTGGATGATTCTCGAAGTGAAGATTTAACTTTCCTCAATGATGATTACGGGGATAAGATCGCATTAACCATGTCTCCCCTCAGATCCGAAACGCAGGTTCCTTATCTCGCTACCAGCGTTCAAGTGCCGCGTGGGCCTAAACTCAAACTGCCTCAAGTTTCATTACCTGAGTTTAGTAATAAGAAGAGGGAGAACTTGTAGAAATTTTTTCTTTCATTTGAAGCTTAATTCAGAAGCACAGTCTGAGCAGCTACGAGCAGTAAGTGTATCTACGTAAGTTGTTGACTGGAACTCGACGTGTGCTCGTGGATTCGCTCGACGTTAGCCAACAGTCTTATGAAACTGCTAAGGACTTGCTTACGAATGCTTTTCATTCCAATTTGAATTCTAACCAGGACGGCATCCGCCTACTAATTAATTTAAATTTGACGAATGTGGAACCAATACCTGTCTGTGCATTAAATATTAACTAAAAATACCTGTCTGTGCATTAAATATTAACTAAAATACCTGTCTGTGCAAACCGCACGCGTTCCTTGACGTTATGCGCACTGTTCTTGCATGCGATAATTATATTGCAAGCGATAATAAATCACCATTATTGCAGATAATCTTCGATATTTTGTTTGGCCGGGTCCCAACAACGATTTTAAATCACATTTAGTCAGCATCACTTATAAATGCAAACCTTCCATACGGGAAATTGATGACAACGTTTTTGAAGCGTCTGAATGTTACGTTGGACAAATTGAGCAGAGGTGGGTGAAATTTTGCCGGGATGCTGTGAAACCGCACTGACCTAGAGATGCACCAGTCGATGCAACCGCTATGGCTGCTGATGTCCGCGTCCACAAGACGTGTAACATGTGTTATGACAGGAAGCGCGCTGACCATTCATTACCCACTTCCACGACTTACGATTCTCCGAAAAATAAAATTTAAGAGTTGAGGCTTATGGATGCCTGTGCTAAGTGGAATCAAGTCACGAAAAGTACAATAATCGGCCACAGGCCATGGGCCTATTTCTTCAGTGCCGATAATTCTATTCTATTCTAAGTATAGTTTTGCTAATCACACTACTAGCAATTGTAAATTTAAGTTCAAGTCGCCTTGCCGCCATTTAAATGGTAACTATATGTCAAACCAGTGCATTAAAAACTCTCCTAACATTCCTCCATGGCCGGAGAATGAAACTCTGGAATTTGAAAGGTGAAGGCATCGCTCGCTTCAGGTGACGATGCGATAGCCTTGCCTAGTTTCACTGCATATCTTACAGACTGTGGTAAGGAACAAATTCGTGTTCTCAAAGACGAGGGATGTCAGCGTTCATTTATTGCCAGTTCGTTAAACGACGGTCTTAATTTGCCTGTGATTTCGTCTATAGTAAATATCTTTAAGAAGCCATGGCTTCACCTCTACCTGAATCATTCGTACCAAAATTGCCAAACTTTTTTTGAAGCTTGATGAAAAGGTGTTCAACCTTGATGTCATTTGCTTAGACGAAGTAACTGCACAATTTTTCGTAGCCGGTAACTCTTGCATAGTTGCATCATTCCAGGCTGCCGGATATAGTTTGGCTGATTTCGTCGTGTATCGGGACCAAAGACGTCGGATGACAGGACGACAGACGTCGGATTTGCAAATTCCTAAAGCTTTTTCGCGGTAAAATATCGGTAAATATTGATTATTTAGGACTAAATAACAAAATTGCTACGATAAAATCGTTGATACTATGATAATTGAATCTGATGCTTTGATCATATGAGCCCTGGTCACTCATTTGAGTAAAGGAATTTGTATTGAGTTTTCCTAATTTTTTTTTGTCATTTGATTCATGCATTGTCTCCAACTTTACGCAAGTGTGCAAAATTTCAGGATCGATAAGATAAGTAGAAGTGTATTAAATTTCGATTACAAGATTTGTAGCAGACAGACAGACAAACAAACAGACAAACAAGAAGTGAAGTTAAAGAGAAGTGTTGTAATTAAAGATTACCAGGAATTTGTCCCGGCATCATGGAACGATCGTGGAAACGTAAATTGCAGTTTTTGGTTATTCTTTGTATACGACGACGTCACGCTCTACCCCCCTGAAAATCTAGTTCCTCAAAAACTATCTTGCTCATTATTTATTTGACATATCTCTATTCCGTGGTTTAATATAGTATTTTCTTCCACCCAGTTCCATCAACCATCCTGTGAAGGTCTGTTAAAAATCTGACGTGGGGAAGAACCTTGCAAAGCCATTACTAAGTATATATTTACATTGAACTATGTTCAAATCCACACGCGTATCCACGAAAGTACTCTAATCTGTATGTTACCAGGACCTAAAATTCTATCGCTAGTGCGAGAATAGTAGTGCATAGAAAACATTATACCAGAGGATTTTTTTTAATTTACGGTATTTGCAACGGCAAAATTCGTGATCACTGGATTTGGAGTAAGAGATTGTAAAATTTCCATATTCATATGCCCAGCTCTGACGTTCACCAGCATCTTCTTCCTCCACACTTACCCACTTCTCTTATAGTGAGATATGGTGCTTTTCATGCCCTAACTCTACCTATTGGTGCAACTTGGTTCAAACCTTTTTATATAGTCAAGCTTCATCTGGTTGAGCTAAATTTTAACCGAATTAGTTCTCCTTCATTATATACAATGAAAATCCTAATACATACTTTTAATTAATTCAGGCTCTCAAGTTTGGACTAATTTTATAGAAATGAATATGAGCGCGGCCGCGGCAGACAACCGCCAAATCTCTAAGCTCGGCATGAACTTTTTGGCACTCCATTGCTATTGCCGGCACAATCATCGCCAGTCGGCCTGCAGGCTGCGTCCTGCCTTGCTATGGTGAAATAAGTTCGAGAATTTCAGTGAGCCTACGCCACTTTTCAGAAATATTCGCTTCTCATCTAATCACATATATATTAGAATACAAATCACGCATTTGTTATTTTACAGGCTTTTGAAATATGTGACTTCATTTGAGAAGACATGACAAATTTCGTGGAATTTTGGCCGTTCATGAAGATTTCGACAAGTGGCTAAAAATGGAATCTGCTGAGCCGCCTGACAGTCAAAGGTGAATGCTGAATTTTTGTAATGTGTTTTATTTTGGTATTATTAGTCAATTAGTCAGTTGACAGATTGGAAATGAAGGAACTTTTTCTGGACTCTTGTTACTTAATTTGGTTATTGTGATTTAAACCATGGGCTTGAAAGGTAGGTAAGCACCCTAATCCCCGGATCAAATTCCTTCAGGCTGCTGACTGCGCCTAGAGAACGGAAGAAACAATGCGTTCAATGAAGATGCCCATCATTATACGGTATGAATTGCAGTATGAATGAATTTCATTCATGGATAGAAAAGCTCGAACAACTAGTACGTTAACGGTTTTTAATGATAACTTGAAGGGTTAGATCACTTCCCTATCCTGGATACTGGATAGTATCTTATTCATTGATGGATCCAAGTAACGCTTTCTTTGGTGGCCTTGTAAGTTGTAAGTTTATCCACATTCATTCTTGTAGACATTACGTCATCTGGGGGTGATCTCCGGTAGGCTTATTCATCATTTCATCTTATTTATGAACAAATCGTTTGTTAGCGACAAGCTTCACTATTGGGTTCAGAACTGTGTGTAAAATTTTGACTTCTTTATTAGTAGCCAAAGAATGACAACTTCTGTTGTTGCGATGGAAGTTAAGAATCTTAGCTTCATTAGCCCAAGATGCCGTTGCTATGGTAACTACGATGCCGTTGTTATGGAAGCGACTGTGTCGTTGCTAAGGACACTCCGTCGCTATCACGCTTTTCTCTCGTGATTTTCACGAATGTTTTCGCTGTACGTATTTTGTGTTATAGGAATGTGCAACAATATTAAATGCAAATATTTATTTTTTTTAGACTTGTTTCATGTTCGTTTTATTATGTGATAAGTGTGAATTTTTCTATTAAGAGCTCAATATATTCCAAGTCCTCAACGAAAACGTCCCTGGCACAGACCAAGGTGTATCCGGGAACTCTGGAACTGAAATATTATAACTAATTTCATCTGTTATTTTTAGAAGGGGTTAAATTACCGCTACTGATTTGAAGAACAAGTGAATTCTTAGTGCGAACCTTTCGTTGAAGCCTGTAAGTCGATTCAAACAATGAAGGTGATTACATATTTTTTCAGGTATATTTCCTGTCAAGATTCTGTTGATATTTCAATGAATGTCACCGTACTTAAAAACTCTATTAATACACGTCAGCGAAAAATTTCGACATAAATGATGACAATGCGTGCTGGAACAGTGACTTGAGAAGAATAGTATAGGAAAGTATTAAAGTAAATTTTCTCGATGATTTTTTTTTTGTACAGTTATCCCCTCGGTGATCCCGGCAGGTGTTTCGGTTCAGACCTCGACTCTGAAAGTTGAAACCCGCGATGGAGAATTAATCGACTGATAGTATATACGTATTCTAGTATTTATTCCGTAATTGTTCGGTAACTTTTCGGCGACTTAAGTGTATACAAACACTTTCCGCACTCTTACTGCAGATCGAATTCCGCGGGCAGTTTAAAGCTGCCGGTCGACCTCCTCAAAACCCGTGGACTTTAATAAAATATAACTCAGTACTCACTGCAGTGCGTGACAAAAAGCGCATTTTCCCGTCGACGAAAACTTGTGGTCACGGACGGACGGACGGACGGACAGACAGACGGACATGGCGAGCACAATAGTGCATTTTTTCCATAAATGAGAAAATGCGCTAAAAAGTCCGCGGGTTGAAAACCTTCCTAAAAAACCCGCGTTCATATTTATTCGCGATGAAGTGAAGCTCAATATATCAAGGGATCACTGAGTACATGAAAGAAATAATTCCCATCAAACAACGACATGCTGAACAATCAGAAAACTATTACAGAAAACGTATTTTAGACAATATTCTCTATGAATTGCGCATTAGAGGATTGAATAAATTGTTGATATAAAAAAATCATGACTTGCTGAGCAAGGAGTAAACTATTACAGAAAACGTATTTTTGACAATATTATCTATAAAAAACTTTTATCTATAATAGTAAATATCTATTAAAAGTTGCACAAATTGTTGATATAAAGAAATCATGTCGATTAAACTGGACGACTTGCTGAACGAGAAGAAGGGCCCCGCCCCTGTGCTGGACTTGTGCCACGCGAGCCTCGCCTCCAGGAGCGACTTCGACGCCGTCCTCGCCAAGGTCCCGGAGTACAAAGTCCGGCCCGAGAAGGTGGGACTGCGACCCGGGGACTGGGGGACTTAGGTACTTGAAACCTGGGGACTATAATGGAACTCGGTGACTGTAATGGGACCCGGGGACTGGGGGTCTTGGGTACTTGAAACTGGGAACTGTGTATTGGGACTCGGTGACCGTGCAATGGGTCTCGCGGACTGTGTAATGGGACTGGGGGACTTAGGTACTTGATCCTGGAGACTGTGTAATTAGGACTGGGACTCGTGGACTGGGACTCGTGGACTGGGACTCGTGGACTGAAGGACTGGGACTCGTGGACTGAAGGACTGGGACTCGTGGACTGGGGGACTGGGACTCGTGGACTGAGTACAAAGTCCAGCCCAAGAAAGTAGGAAAAGTGGGACTGTGGCCCGCATGTTGTGTCCTGGGATTATGTATCCACGATTTGTTCCTCTGAAGCATATCCATGATACGTCACAGTGATTCTCTTAATTGCGTATCCATGATACGTCGTTGCGCTCCTCTTAACCGCGTATCCATGATACGCCGTTGCGCTCCTCTAACCGCGTATCCATGATACGCCGTTGCGCTTCTCTAACCGCGTATCCATGATACGCCGTTGCGTTCCTCTAACCGCGTATCCATGATACGCCGTTGCGTTCCTCTAACCGCGTATCCATGATACGCATTTGTGCCGGAGGTGCGGGAGGAGGAGGTGACGGGGGAGGGGGAAGGGGGGTGGCGGTACGCAGGAGGGGCGCGGGGGGAGCCTCACCCCTACAGTTAGCGGCCCAAGTACGCATAGCGGCCCAAGTACACGTAGCGGCCCAAGTACACGTAGCGGCCCAAGTATACGCAGAGGTCTATTTCTCGTCAGTGATTGGTGGGTTTAACAGTAAAAGCCGTCAGTGATTGGCTGACGGAAATCTTCAATATTTTTGATAGTGCGGTCCCTCATGAAAAATATTTGAAATTAATATTGATTTTGCCTTCTCGTCGGTTTTTCTATGTCTCCAGGTCGACATCGACTGGCGGATGCTGACAACCGCGAGGCCGAAGTCGAAGCTCGAGGAGGAAGTTTTCTCCAGGCGAGTAGTGCGATGTAACAGTGGTGGTAGTAGTAAGATGCGTAACAATACTGTTTAACATTACCGGTATAATTTTGACGTTAATATAACCATGCAACATAAGCGGTATAATTTTACCGTTAACATAACCGAATAAGATATCACCGGTGTACTATCACTGTATAACAGAACACTGGCATAATTTTACCGTTAATATTACAACCGTTTAACATGACTGGCATAACATAACCAGTATAAAATAACACCGGCATTATTTTACCGTTAATATAACAACCGTTTAACATGAATGGCAAAACATAACCGGTATAACATTACCAGCATAAAATAACACCGGCAATATATTACCGTTAATATAGCAACTGTTTAACATAACTGGCATAACATCACCAGTAAAATATAACACCGGCATAAAATAATCGGTGTAACATATCCGTCTGAGGATCAGGTACGTGGAGATGGGACGCCTGCAGCTCGCGCGCCAGAAGCTCGAGGAGGGGAAGGAGCAAACGTGGCGAACAGTAAAGGTGAGCCATTAGCAAAGAATTGTGAATAATAATGGCAATATTTGAGCACTCGTTAGCAAAAACTAAAACTATACAAATAGATGTATCCGCGTATGCATTTTTTAATTTTTGTTCGGTGGAAGAAATGCCGATTGCGTTACTTGGAACAGCAGCGAGTTGGAGGTTTGAAACCCGCAACTGGGTGTGGGAATTCTGGTCGAAATCGTCGAGGTAGCTAAAAATAAGTGGCAGGCTGCATTTTTCGTGTTTTTTTTCTGAATATGTATGTATTATCCGTTCCTCCGTGAGAGTGGGTTGCCGTGATGGCCTCCACGCATCGCATGTCTTGTCGTGGATGCCGTGCCGGCCGAAATAGGCGTCCTGCTGCCACCTATCGAGCAGCGCGCGACAACAGTGTGTTCGTTATCACTGGCAATAGGCCGTTGCTACGGCGGAAATCATTTTAGACTAATTCGACGTCTGCGAATGCTGCTGCTGAGCATCGGCTTATGTCGACCCGTAGGCCTCAAAACCTGCTTAGCGTTCGTGTTGATCGCCACTGTGTGCAGCCGTGTCGCCGGCTATCGTTCGGCTGCCTCAACATCCGTTCGCTGAATAACAAGGTTGATGAGTTTCTTCACATTTGTCGCTCGCACTCACTAGATGTTGTCTTCCTGACCGAGACCTGGCACGACGCTGACTTGGTGTGCATCTCGCGTCTTCGCGCTGAAGGACTCACGGTAGTAGAGCGCACGCATCCCCGCATGCAACCCGACACCCTGGCGACGAATTACGGAGGAGTAGCTACCGTTGCCAGTGGGGGCGTGCACCTTGCCGTTCTTGACATCGGCGCCCGACCCATCACTCTAGAGCTGCTATGTGCTAGGGTCGCCTGTGCCTTGTTTACGGGCGTTGCAGTCACCATCTATCGTCCTGGATAGGTTGCTGTGTCGCGCGATTTTTCCGTCGAATTGAGCGATGTCTTCGCGACTTGTGACTTTCCCGATGATGTCCTTATCACCAGCGATTTGAACGTTCGCCTGGATTGCGTCGAAGACCCATCGGCTTGTCAGGTGAACCACCTTCTGTCCACCTTCGGCATGGTTTGTCACGTGGCCTTGCCGACGCAGGGCATGGGCGGACTGCTGGACGTTGTCATCACGCTTGCTGACCTTCAAAGTTAGCCAGCCGACATCATCGAGATCGCAATATCCGACCATCGACTACTTCGGTGGACGGTGCCATGTGTGAGCCCGGTGCAAACGTACAAAACCGTTACCTGTCGTCCGTGACGCGGCCTCAACGGCGATATCTTCCGCGAAAAACTGCAGTCGTCCCGACTTTGTTTGCCGGCCTGACTCAAGGTTGACACTATCAGTCAACGACCTCGTGCAACTCTACAACACCGAGCTGACCCGTGCACTTGCTGACCTCATCTTGCACGCACAGTTTGGGCACCCCAACGAGTCTCCGACCCAAGTATAATTTGACGATGAATGTCGGGTCTCGAAGCGGGACGGTTCGACTGCTCCAGCTGGCTATTTACCGGGATAGATGCGCGGCGCAACTATGTCGCCCTTCTTCGTTCTATAAGAGAGGTCATTTTGACACCAGAGAGTCGACGCTCAACACAGCGACCCTCGAATGCTGTGGCGTTCGCTGGATAAAATTATGGGAAGAGGTCATGCAGATTTTTCGGGTGACTTAAGCTTGGAGGAATTGCATGTGAAGGAAATTCCTGCAGTGCGAGCGTCGTCGGCCGATGCTCTAGGGCAACATTTACGCCGTGCCCGTTCGATTGCGTGCTCCAATAATTCACTCGCGTCACAGCTGTCGATGTCATCGCTGCAGTGCGCGCTGCCCAACAAGCATTGTGCCAGCGATCCGTCGCCGACGTCGTTACTTAAGGGGAATGTCGTAACCCTAGCACCTTTTCTTGTCGAACTTTTCACCCGCTGCCTCACTGCCGGTGTTGTTCCGATGAACTTCCGAATCAGCTTAAATTACGCCTCTATCGAGAAAAACGCTTCCTGACTCTTCCGATTCCTAATCATATCGACCCATCTCCAACCTGTCGATTTTGTCGAAACTTCTGGAACGCATTGTGGCGCGACAGCTGAATAACCATCTTCAGTAGTCCGGTGTCATGTCTCACTTCCAGTCTGCAAACCATCTCCACTCCACGGAAACTGCTGAGCTGAAGGCGCTTCCAGACATTCTGCGCGCAGTAGACTGCAGCGACATTGCGACACTAGCTTTGCTCGACCTGTCGGCCGCGTTTGACACGGTCGACCACGCCATATTATTGCGTCAACTAGACGTATCATTCGGCCTGCGCGGCACAGTGATTTGGTATTATTCTAGCAATAGATTAAAATGAACTCGACGAGGGAACTCTTCTTCAACGCCATCGTTGGTCACTTTCGGCGCACCACAGGGATCCATTTAAAAAGTCTTATACATCTAACCCATGGTCGCTGCCATGCGGCAGTGGTCCGTTTGGAAAATGGTAATTACCACTCGCCCAACCAGTAACATTTCGACCTACGTCTACCAGCATTACTTATTCAGTGCCACCACCACCAGGTGGTGCCTGGTCGTGGTGCTGTGGTGGAGGTGCGGTTGGCGGTGTGTGAGCAGTGCGGCGACGAGTTGTGCGCGGCCAGATGTACAGACCATCTGTACACCAGCTACCAGCGCCAGGACCAGGTACAGTCTGTACACCAGCTACCAGCGCCAGGACCAGGTACAGTCTGTACACCAGCTACCAGCGCCAGGACCAGGTACAGTCTGTACACCAGCTACCAGCGCCAGGACCAGGTACAGTCTGTACACCAGCAGCCGCTAGGGCGATTAATGAGAAGGTCTTCAAAATATAACTCCAGTCAATGGCCGAATTAGACTTATGTTGTCCAGTGCGGGAATGCCAAACAATTTTAATGTCTAACAAACTCATTTCGTAATAAAATTATTGGTAAAATCCATAACATTACCCCTGCTTCATTATCAGTATTCGAAATATCGGGTATTACTTTGGCGTCAGTGCTCGGCCGGAAAGACAAGTCGTTAGTTAGCAGCTCTGATGGATAGGCCTTGCAAGCGATCCATTAACCCTCTACCGCCGTATGTCACTCTCCGGGAACATAAATTTCAACTTAAATTATGCGTAAACAATTGAGTAAAGCAACCTAAAGACGTTTGTATGCAACAGAGAACATTTTAAAGTTGTCGTACGTGGCGGCAACCATCAGTGCAAGTCATTTTGCGCTCACTAGAACGTATTCTTTTTGGGAGGTAGGCGCGTGACAAAATTGCTCCGGTTACTCGTGTCAGGTGGTAGAAGGTTAAGGAGCATGTTGAACAAGACGGCTCAACTGCAGGAGCTACGATCGATCGCTCTGACGTCAAGCTAGCTGAGTGACTACAGAAACAACTTCATTCCGGGGAAAGGTGCAGTTAATTTATTAAAAAATAAGTACGCGAATTAAAATGCATAACATTTTTTTTTTCAATAATGCTAGCCCATTTTTTTAGCAAGTAGTAGTTGAGTATCATGTTGCCATAAAGGATAATAATGCAATTCAAGTTATTCTAATTTACTGAAGTACTATCAACATAACGACTGTGCAGCAACAGAGTGAGAACAAAGAGAAGGAGGGAAGAGGGGAAGGAGGCTCGGCAGCCGACGACGACGATGATACAGAAAAGAAGATGAAGAGGAAGACAAAGCGGCGCAAGAAGAAGAAAAAAACGGCCAAAATTGATGCTGCAGAATTGGACGAATAAATTCGTACGATGCGAGAAATGAGCCTCACTTCACATTCATGCCTATTTCCTTAATTGTATAGAATGAACTATGTTTTCCATCCATGTATCTTTCCATAAGAGGTGCTTTCCTACAGTTCACACAAATAATCCAAGTCACGTATGTACACAATCAACTACATAATTCACGGTTTATTAACATAAGCTTAAATTGTCCTTTACTTAACCCTCCCATTCTTCTGCAACTCGTGCATTCACTATTACATGTTCGTCCATGTATATGATCTTTAATTAATTTCCAATTAACCATTGTCCACGGGGCACCGCAACATCCATATTTATCTTGTAACTATTCCTACGACGTCTAACTTAAAACATACGAGACGAACATCGAGTTAGGGAAATGAGCCAAGCTATGGCGATAAATAACCTTGCGATGAAACTGATTATTTGTTCTTCTCCGTGTCCAGAGACGTAGAGTCGCCAGCTTCTCGCTTATCCTTCTTGCCGTTAGCGCCTGAAAAATAAGTCCGGTATTGACATCCTTTTTTTTCCTTGTATTTACTCGATTTTTTCATAGGTATCTTCGGTATATTAATGGCATCCAATTTAATTTATTAATAGCGTCTTAGTTAATAGTTTGCACTTGGTTTTAGTCAAATCTGGACAGACGTAAACGCCTCTCACCCAACTAGGACTCAGGCTAGAAAAATCAATGAAAGATCCAAAGTCCTTCTGTTGATCTGACCAGAGAACCCCACGAAAGGTATCCCCACTACAACAGAGGCTAAAAGAACCATTCTCTTATTCCCTCTAATTAGCCTTGTATTGATGTGACCCCAGGCCCCCCCCCATAATTGAAACCCTATGTAACCCCAGATGTCAACAACACCTTAACTCGAAGAGACGGCTGGCAGAACCATTCTCTGATTCCCCCTATTTGGCCTTCTGTTGATGTAACCCAAGAACCACCACAATTGAAACCTTTATACCCCAAGGTATAAAGATGTATCCTCAAGATGCGACAACACCTTAACTGACCGTCTAGTTCGCTCTCAGAGTCGCCGCCATCGCCGGTAGAATTGTCGCGCCGGCGCTTGCGGTTGAACCTCAGACGCCCCGGCCCCTGGAACTTGAGCGGCAGCGGCTCCATACCGAGCACAGCGTGCATCTGCCTGAAGCATATGAGTCGCAGGGCGTGCTGCACGATCAACATATATTCAATTAATTCATTATTTGATAACGAGGCCGATTTAGCAATAGCAGTACTTAATTAGGTGAGGCATGATGCGCGTAGTTTCAATAATCAGGTTAAATCAAGTTATTGTATTGCAGTAATTACGTGAGGCAACGGGGCAACATAATCTGTGTGCAGCTCATGTGCTTCATGAAGCTCTAAGCGCATTAATATGATTAGTGACGCAAACGTGCATAAAAACAATACATACGAAGCAAAATCATACCATTTCAGAGAAAGAAATCATCAAGCATTATTTAATTATGAACGTAACATTATGAGGTGCAACATTGGTTTTAAATTTTTTCATTATTTGAAATTTAAATTTGGTCAAGAGTTAACCAATAGACGGTTATTTTCAAAAGATTATTGGAGGTATTAGCTGTGTGTGTCAAGATGAGATTTTAATTTGTAATAAGAGATTAGCGAATAGAATTTTGTAATATTTGCGTTTCATTTCGATTGGTATGCCTATCGTCTTGTTAGCGATATGCTAGAAATTTACATATTGTTCATGCTTTTTTGGGAGTGAGCTTCAAGAAATGAGCAATATAAGAATTATATTCTTTATATGAAGCCTCAATGCTACGATGAGGAGAGAAGACGACTAGAAGAGTAGACATTGAAAATAGTTATTTCTCACCCATTGTTCGGCAACACGGAAGGAATTATTAATTTCTTTACACGACAGTAGCGCAATAATGTATGTTTTCAAGTGTTATAATCTGTAACTCTAATAAAAATGCTGCCCATGCCAAGCTCTTTGTTGAAGCGTCCTCATGATCGCAAACTCCACTTACCACAAGAATTTGTACATAAAGTTTATCATAAAGGGTAAACGCAAGGCAAAGTTTGAGCGTCTCTATTAGCCTCAATTACGCTCCCATCTGAAATTATTACCAATAAAAAAATAACGAAATTAATGAACTTTTTCCTACGCTTACCCCTTAAAATTATTACAAATGAAAAAGAATGAAATTAATAAACCTTTAGGTCAAATGGTAAACGCAAGTATAGGTGACCTGTGCAGAGGCAGTTATCTCCTCCCGCTCCTGGGAGGTGAGATGAGAAGAAGCGTCCACAGGGTCCTTCTCGCAAGGGTCCAGCAGCCCTGGGGACCCTGGCAGGAGCAGTCCTGAGGCAAGGGCTTCGAAGACCCGACGGACAGCGTCACCAGGACTCAGGGGCTGACCTGCGCTAGCGATCACCTTCTCGCAGATCAGTTCAAGGGCCTGCACATGTAATGGACTGTGTTAACCCTTCTCAAGAATTTACTGAAAGAATGCAGTTACATCTCATTTAAAAATTGATCAGCATTGGTAAAGCGAAGTTAGTAAGGACATGACTGTCCCAGTTGTTCATAACTGACCCAGTTGTTCATGACTGACCCAGTTGTTCATGACTAACCCAGTTGTTCATGACTGACCCAGTTGTTCATGACTGACCCAGTTGTTCATGACTGACCCAGTTGTTCATGACTGACCCAGTTGTTCATGACTGACCCAGTTGTTCATGACGCCCCAGGTAGGCGAGCGTTGACACAAGTCCCGCATGATCCTGATGACAAGCACGCAGCTCTGCAGGCCGTTCGCACGTGCCTGCAAATTAGGCTCTCATGAGAATAAATAAAACACAAACGCCAGCTTTGAGAGCTTCGAGGTAACTGCTTCAAGATGAACTTGATGACAAATTTCTCTTGAATTGATTTTTTGGTGCAATAATAACATAACACAAAGTGCATGCAATAACTGAGGTACAAGGGAATTTTTATCGTACAAAACTAGTATAAAATACAATGTTAAAATTAAGGAGTTATTCGCGGTGATAATTACAGCAGTTAACCTTTTTGCTCTCAAAAGAAGAACGCAGTAAATTTTCTTTAAAGAAATTTAAGCGCGTATTCTAGAGCTGGCTTACGTTACGGGATCGCTCTTAGATCTACCCGTGCTCAGGACTGATGATAAAGCTCCATGGGCTTTAGGAATCCATGAAAAACTTATTAATTCAGATACAATATTAAAGCTTTACGAGCTTGGCTATTCATCCTGAGCAGGTTATGTCTATACACCGCACTCCGGCACTAAGCATCTTACCGCCACCGCAAGCCAGTGCTGATGGCAGCAAGAAGCCAGCGTCGTGAGCGATAATTCTGCACGCCGCTGTCGTCACTGAGGCTTGCTGGTTTTTAGGCGAATGGCTTTTACATAATTAAAACAAATTATATATAGCAAATATTGACATTTGCATATAAGCTCAGAGCATTGGAAATTGCTCCGTGATTTTGAACATGGGAAATAATTATGGTTTGATCACAGTGAAGTGTATTTTAAACACACTACACTGTATTTTAAAGACAAGAAGGCGCGGTGAGACAATGGCGTGAGACGAGCAGCGTTAAGCAGCTGCTAACTTTCCAGCCTCATGTAAAAGCAAGGAATAACTCACGTGTTGACCACGAGTTTTCCCTCACTTTGAAATTCTAAATATTTATTGAGCTAACTGCCTACAACTGACCGACTAGTTCGTTCAATACTCTGAGTATATCTAAGATTAACTGGACGTTGAAGCTAGAAGACTCATCGTTGATCTATATACAAGTTCTATATTCGTATCATTTCAAATTCTTCTATTCTTCCAGATATCTGACAAATGTCTTATTAATTTTTGTAATTGAAATCCACAATTTAAATTAACATCAACGCAAATAAATTGGAAGAACGCAAAAAAATGAGTTAAAAAAATATTGCGAGTTTTGTGTTCAATGCTGCCAAGTTCTTCCTGAGCTAAACATGGGCAGGTTTAGTTCATTGCCACTACAAATACCACCTTTACAAACGAAAGAGGATTCTAAGCCGAGATAAAAAGCAATATTTTCTGTTATTATTGAGTCCAGCCTATGCACCGTACATCGCACCAAAATAAAGTGGTTGACTGCGAACAAATGTTCAGCCAACAGAAACAGAGTCTTAGTGAAAACTTAACCTCAACAGAATCAAGTCCTGCACATATCAACCGCTTGCTTTAAATTTGCTTCGCTGATGATGAAAATGTCAAGAATTAATCAATATTTGGGCACTTTTATCGCAATCGCAGCAGCGGTGACAGAGAATTGTGGTATCACACCTAACTTTGGATCTCTCAACTGTAGATCGTTCCCAGGCTTAGTATAAAAAATAATAATTACTCTGATGCTCATTGATAAGTGTGAGAAAATAATTAAGACAAAATTTACGCTGAGAGGCTTAAAATATCCAAGACTTTCAGTTAACTATTTCAAGGTAAATCCTTCAATCGAGTCTTCCACAAAGGCTTCCCCGTAACACCTGAGCTCCAGGAAGAATTTGGCACCTTGGAACACAAACGTCGCGTGTGTAACAATTGGTATATTCTAACCTTCCTACGCAGAGGCATTGATACAGAATGAAAAAAAAACGCTGCTTGAAAACAGAAGGCAAAACATGAACGTTCATAAGGCTGCAAAGCAGGCAGGCGCTCCGCACAAGCTGCACGTGTGGTCAGTAGCCAGAGCCACTATGCTTCCACATATATCCCGGGTCTCGAGTTTTCATTCCAACAATAATCTACTAACTTACGTTTCTTGTAAGATAATTCTTGAATCGCTACACGAGATCAGTCACTAGTTTGGTGGTAAATGGTTTGCTGCAATAAAGTCTATGGAGCTCCTTTCTTTCTTTTACGAAATGAAGCGAAGAGTTTGATGAAACGAGTTGGGATCAGTTTTATTGCGTTGATTGAAGCTATACAGCGCAATTGTCCTTGAAGAAATACTTAAGAAATTCAAGTGAATTCTTCAAAGTTAAACTTTAAACAAAGAGCTTCATTTCAGTGGACTTAGAATATGGCCCAAAACGGTAAAAGCCGTTGAAAAATTTATTCCATTAACATTCATCGCACCAAAGGTACAAAGTTAATAGATAATTCTCTAAAAACAGGTGCGCTTCTGGTGCCATGTACTAAGAAAAAAAAGATATAGCAATATTCAGAAGAGAATATGCATTTAGCCTAGGATATTAGTGAAAGCATGAGCGGCACAAGCTAGCGGCGCATTTGGCAGCTTGTTCGGAGCGCCCAAATATGGGATAGTAGCAAACCTGGAACCACTTGGCATGTCTGAGAGAAGCCAAAGCATCCAAACACTTCTGCTTGTCGAGCACATCAGGGGCATCCTTCACAGCAGCAACCTGGGACTCTATAAAATACAAGAGCATGTGGGGTGACAGTCATCAACACGACCAAGGGAGCGACGCTTGGTCGTATGGTGAGTACGGTTGCCCACAGCTCAACATTTCCCCTCTGGTGGTAACGACACTGCAAGATATCTTGGCTCATGCGTGATTAGAAGTCCACATAATTGACGTAAAGATAATAATCTGAAGAGCCCTATGGCTATAAAAGAACACTGACGTAAGGTTACTAAGGGACATCGAAAGCTGTGGTATCGAGCGGGTGGAACAGGCCAACCGTTCGAGCCAAGGGCAGATATGAGGCAGAGGGGAATGTTATGTCGTACGAAGCTATCGAGAACCAGGGGTCAGCAATGTGCAAGTTCAACGTATAAGAGTTCAATAAAAAAATAAATGATGATCAGAAAACATTACGATAATGTGATGAACAATAATAAAGCACTGTGTCCCCTGGTGAGAAGTCTTAATAGTAGCATGCCTGAGGCAAGTCTGAGTTCAATAATCATCACGTTCACAAATTGATATTGACATCAAATTCTGAAGTATGTTAATAATATTGCATCAGAAGTGATGATATACTAAGACTGTACCCTGCACGGGAGGTCCACCCCCTTATCCCCAACTATCGCTCTCTACTTCTTCTTATTCTCACGGCACAAAAAAAATTATGCAGGAGTTCAGCAACTTGCTTAGACACTTACTGAACTAAGCAGAGGTTATCTGAAAATGCTAGGATTTTCACAAAGGCTTTAGAAAAATAAAATACCAGTCAAGGGCGGGATAAATTAAAAGAGGATGGAGAGCGACGGCTAAGGAGCAGAGATGGAGGAAGAAATGTATGTTACTTCTTCATCAGCCATTTCATAACTTGACTCGACCCATCCACACGGCTTATTTTTACTCCAATATTGCTTAAGATGACCGAAAACAGACACAGTTTACCAGAATAAAAACGTGTTGTATCCAGGGCATATCTCAACATATTCTTTGGTGTACAAATAAATTACTTTCCCATTTTGCCGGCAAGTTTATACTTTTATAATCGCGGACGGAAGAGTCCGCGATTGCTCTCATACGAGACAAATCTAAGAAAAAAGACACCGGAGAATAATGAAATTAACTATGATCGACAGGATGCCACTTGCAATTCCAGGACAAATAAGATTAGGTTTTGAGCTTATGTTTGAATGTGTCAAGTTTCAAGCTTGGGCTTCAGTCAAGACGATCAATTTGAATTTAAAATCATGAGAAATGTACTGGGTTTCTGAGTCGATTTTTATCCGAAGTGGATGGAATATCGCCCGGAATGTTGTTAGTTTGTTACTAATGTTAGTGAAGCGCCCTATTGTACCTGACGACGAGGCTTGCAGAAGCTGTTCTCTCATGACGGGGGCCGTTAGGGTGACTTTGACAGTGTGTTGCCCGAGGGTGACTTGAACAGCCGCCTCCTCCACGACACGCTGTACGTCGTACTGCTGCTCTTCGTCAGTAGATCCCGACAATGATGCCAGGTGCTGAGGGAGGGCATCAGCAACGCGATCAAGAAGCGTGCGCGTTGGTTTCTCTCCACACAACACGACGAGTTCGACGGTTTTGTCGCCACGCAGCAGGAGCCCTTTTGCAAGGATGCCAACCCGCATAACCCCTTTCAGGATTCGTGAGGAACCTTCCTCTTTCTTGTCGTTGGTGTCGAAGTGAGTGGTTCCGTGGGGAGCCTTTGGCCTGCAATGTGGGAATAGTTACGACTTACATGTACTGATAATAAATGCAACTTTTTAGTGTGAAGAGGCATACCTATACTACTAGCACAATAGCAGGTGTCATGGATAAGCTTTAACTGCTCATTTCACTTTCTTTCTTTTAAATTTGAAATTCGTTAATAAGTCTTGGTGCTTCGAATGAACTGTTATATCTTTTGGACATTAGGAAATGCAGCTCAAAATTTTAGCAGCTGAAAATGGGGAAAAGGAGATCAATGACGAACAAGAAAATTAGATTTCTCAAACCGGTTAGTAGTCCATCACCCAAGAGGTATCACCCAGTGGATCTTAGCCACAAAGCCAGAGATCAAAATTTTAGGGCAAAATTATAGTTGAATAATAAACAATGATGTGTAGAGATAAATATAGAAATGATGATATTACATACCAATGATGGCAAATTAAATGAGACATTAAAAATTGAAAATAGCATGAGCTTCTCGTATTTTTCTTATTTTCAGTTTCTGCCAACCAATCAGATTTTGTACATTTAATACTTCTGTCTCTTGACTTAGATTCCTGTGACGCTAACAATAATTTTTAACTGATAATTACGCAGTGATAGTAGCTCATACCTAGTTAGTAGATCTCTAGATATGACTACCACCAACGACGAGTGATGTATCAATAAGAAGACATTTTCAAGCTATGTGCACTGGCAGCTCTTCTAGGTACTACTACCCCCCAATAACGGTTTTGGCACCCTTAGACAAAGGTTTAATTAAGAAAGCCTCTCTTTCCTTCACCTTTCCTTCTTATCCTTAACGAGTTCCTGTTTCTCAGCGACAGGTTCCTTCTTGATCTTGACGTCTTTCATGACGTCCTTCTTAGAATCCTTAGGGGCGTCGAGGTTGGCCAGGTAGTCAGACACGAGCTTCAAAGCCTTCTCCGTGGTCGAGACTATCTTCTGCGTGGCCGCGAGCTCTTCTTCGCTGGGGTAGATGTCCGCGTGGCGCGCCATCACGTGGCGGTCATCGCTCGAATCCGGCCGTCGCATCTGAAATATGGGGCAGAGAATATTTAATAGTTCGTAAATATGAAAAAAACATAATAAATAATTCGTAAATATGGTGAAAAACCAGTTTCAATATGGTGAAACCGGCCACAGAAAAACCAGTTTCAGTGGCTGGCCGTCCCGCTAAATGAAGCCATGTCATCGTTTTTCTTGAGTCAACATAGAAAACCCGAACCCTCACAGTCGAATTTCACGGTGCGACCGCCCACTGTAGTGCCGACCAGACCCGCATTATAGTGGACTGGCCAGTAGAAGCCCAGTCCAACCGTTTCATGTTCAAACAGTGTAGTTGTAGAAAGTTTTCTTGGGTGCCGGAAAAACATTGTCTATTTCACACCGGAGTTACGATCGTCAATTACATCAAAAACATTTCAGCGCTCTAGCCTCCCAGGATTGCTGATATATCCATTCAAGCGTACGGGCTCAAGGCCTGATTCTCAATTCTCACAGCAAGGCTCCGCTCCGGGTTTGTCACCCCAGTTTAATGTAACATTTATTTTTATTAGAGTGATGGATTAGATGCCTGTATATAGTTTCATGTTATTGGGTTACAAAATTGTACCAACTCAATATTAAAATATCATGGAAATTAGATAACCATGCATTATATATAACTATAACCAAAGCCTATTGTAACACGGAATGAGTGTACGGTCGTTGGAGGCATCCATCAAGCATTACATCACAAATGACATCAACAAAGGAAGGATTTCTCTAATGATCGAATGCATAGTTTTTGTTGAAGCTCAGCCTAGGTTGTAATACAAATATAGCATAAAAAATATTCAAGAAATATATATTACCACATATGACAGATGAACTTTGCAAACACTGAGCATTAGTTGCGAGATATAAAAAAAATTATATAGATGAAATTCCATTTGGACGAACACAAAGCAAAAAACTAATGGAATAATGAGCTTCATACTCGAGGTTTTGCTGATGATCAGAGCGTTATTCTTATAAAAAATTACCTCATTGTTTTTTCTAAATTTAGTAAGTTCAACTTTTTGCAGGAGTTGAAACTTCAATAATTCGCCAGATTGAGGAGAACCACGAGAAAATTCTAATAATTACGCATCAGTCATTGCCGAAAACTTAACAAAGAACTACTTCTGCCGAATTATACACAAGTGTCTATACCTAAATACCAGTAAATCTATACCTAGTTACCAATACGGTATATCTATACATAGATAACAATTAATGTATATCTAGATAGCAATAAATCTATACAAAGATAAGAATAAATAAATAGCTAAATACTGATATTGAGATAACCAACCATGGCAGGAGGCCCCTGGTGCATGAACGGGTGTCGAGGGCCCATCATAGGGTGGGGAGGGGGAGGTCCCATGCCCAGATGGTGGGGGCGGGGGAGTGGGGGAGGTCCCCTGTGTGGGGGGAAGCGTTGGCACCAGTCCATGTAGTCGTAAGGCTCGTCAATGCGGCGGCTGCGGTCGTACAAGAAGCGCTCCTCTTGCTCCAAGAGAAGCTCTTCTTCGCGGCGCCGCCACACCTCCTCGCGAACCTGTAAGCCAATTACTATTAAAACGACTGGCAAAAAACTTATTATATCAATAATTATATCAACATTCTTCTCAATGCAGAACCATGAACCAAGTCTGCTCATTACAACGGGCAAAAAACTTATTATTTCAATGATGATATCAACATTCTTCTCAATTTTAAACTAATTACTTAGCATATATACATGGAAAACATGTACTTCAATAAAAATATCAGTATTCTTCTATCAAATTCCTTCGGTTTTATACATGGAAAAACAATTATTTGGTTTCAATGATAACAACAGTATTTTTTTCAATTTGAAAATAATCCTTTCAATTATTTACATCCTTTAAGAACCAAATCCTTCAAGATAATTACAATATTCTTCTTAATTCAAAACTTATTTCTTCCACTTAATTTAGAGTGGTAATCATTCAGCATGCATTCATCCACTGATGGTAACAAGTCTTCAGATAATACTAGCATTGGAGGCCGTTATGGTAAGCATAAATATTTACGTTTGTTTTAAATCAGTTCTTCTCAACCTTCTTGCGTCGCACTCACCCAGAACAAGTAGAGAATAAGGAGGGGGCTGAGGAATGAGGGAAATAGCAAGATAGGGGAAAGGGTGGATTACCAAGTCTCTGTCAGTCCCCTCCCTCCCGAAATACCAAGGTTAACTAATTACACCAATTCGTGTAATATTACACTCCATACCACACTTTCCCCAACCCCATTTTGGGGTCGCTCTACGTTGTGTGAAAGGCTAACATAATTAAACAATGCCTTGCCTGCTGTCGGCGCAATTTTTCCTCTTGCATTTTACGCTGTCGGGCCGAGGGTTTAATTTCAACCTGAAGCTCAGGGTTGACTTTCTTCTTGTACTGCAGTCGGTGGCGGCGGCCCTTCATGTGCATCTCCTTGGCGTTGGGGTCATTGAAGCGACAGTCACACAGCGTGCACTTGAAGCTGATCACCTTGCCTGCAATGTGGTCAAACGATCAAACCAATTGAAATAAATGGATAAATGGCTGTGAAATCAATGGTAATTAAATAAATGGATAAGAGGCATTGCAAGAAATGAATAAGAGGCATTGAACGAAGTGGATTAAGGGAATTGAAAGAAATGGATTTGAGGCACTAAAATAAATTGTTCAAAGGCATTGAACCTAATGGATATTACATACAACCGTCATTAGCAACTAAGTCGCATTTAGGTGCGGATAGTTGGCTAATAAATTTGCGGACAAACGGCTTGTTGCCTTCAAGAAATATGAACGATAGATCGCATGAAAAGGACGTTAAAAGAAAATACAGGAAAGAGTTAAATGTGACATTTTGTAACTAGATCGCCATTAGCAGATTTTATTCCAATATCACAATTTTATTGCAAGTTGTTAAGTGCAGTGACGAGAGACAGGCGACTCACTGTCGTTGAAGGTGTAGTTTAATGTTAAATAAATTATTGAAGTTCATTATGTTCAATGAAACGATAAATAAGAAGAAATGTGTGAAAATTTTCAGCCGTTAGCTGTTGCTCAGCTTGATAAACATGGGAACGTCTTCAGCGGTTAAAAAATTACACAATTGCGAGACATTTGCAAACTCAAAATTTTTGTATAAGATTAACGAGAGTGGTCCATGATAGTGCTGATCGTTCCAATAGGTTTCAAACTGTATTTGCCATCAATATTAAGAACTGCCCTGGCATGTCTCGCCCTTCGTAACTTGATAATATCCCCTTAAATGGCACGCTCAAATAGCGTCCTGTACTTACATTGATTATTGTTAACACTTTTGAACTCAGTGCATCTCACTAACATTGTCCTACAGAGTACACCAGCATGCTGTATTCACAATCACTATTATGAACACTTCAGTTCACTGGCTAGTCTCACCCTGCCCATCTCCCTCTGCAGCCTTCATCTCTTCAATGTACTCCATGCCCACAGGCTCAACTTCCTTCTCTTTGAGTTCGAGAAGATCCTCCTTAGCGTCAGCCATCATTTCCTTCTTGTTGGCCGCGGAGCTGCTGCTGCTGGTTGATTTAGACGTAGCCACCTCGGTTGTGGTGGTTGTGCTGGCACCACCAGCAACACCGCTGCTGGTAGAGGTAGTGCCGGCGCTGGTTTTACCACCAACCACGACTGGGTCTTGAGAAGGTATGGGTTTACCCAGCTTCTCATGGAGTTTCACCACCTGCAATGTGGATAAATGGATAACATTTGAAAACTTTGCTCTCCTAACCGTTAGTGCAATACATGAAGGCTTGTTTCTATGTTTGAAAATCCAACATAAATGAATATTAGCAAATAAATATTTTCTTTTGCTATTTTTATGCGTACAGTAAAAACATTTCTGTCATCAGAGGCATTGATCATTCTTCATTTTTAACGATTATTCCTTGTATGAAAGATTTATTTCGAGACAAAGAGCAAGTAAAAAGGTTCTAAATAGATCAACTTCAACACAGCTTTATTGTGATCCATCAATCTAACCACCTTGTTTTTATTTCTGTCAAGAGTGTATTCCAAGTAATAAAAGAGCCCTGAAGTTATTAGTTCACGTAAGAATAAATCTGTCATCAACTGAAGATACCAAGCCCTTTAGCTATAGATGAGCTGTTAAATTGTGGAGAATTTAAATTGTTCTCCTAAATCTAAGTGAAGATTGCATCAGTCAAATGCATCATAAAATCATAGGTTTAGGTTTTGATATTGCATGCATGCTCAAACAACAAAAATTTCAGTCTCTCATGGTTATTATACATAATATATACCTAGAAGAGTTACACTATAATCCTACAAAAGATAATTCTGAAGTGCGCAAAGTATGCAAATACAACATCAGATCTGATTTTGATCAATCAGACTCGCAAAATATATATAAAAGCCTAAAATATTGCACTGATGCAAAAAAAAATTAAATAAAAACTAGCATTAAAAGCACAAAAGACTAGCATTAAAAGCACAAAAGACTAGTATTAAAAGCACAAAAGACTAGCATTAAAAGCAAAAAAGACTAGCATTAAAAGCACAAAAGACTAGCATTAAAAGCACAAAAGACTAGCATTAAAAGCACAAAAGACTAGCATTAAAAGCACAAAAGACTAGCATTAAAAGCACCAAAGACTAGCACTAATAGCACAAAAGACTAGAATTAAAACATAAAAGACTAGCATTAAAAGCACATAAACAGGCACATAAAGCACGAATTGCAGGAACCTTTTGATGCTTGGCCCCCCTGATGTGGGCAGCATAGGCGTCCGCCCCCGTGCAGGTCACGTCGCAGAGCTCGCAGCGCAGGGACGCCCCCAGCCGGGATGGGGTGGGGCCAGCTTTAGCCGACGCTTCTTTCTTTTTGTGCTTCTGGCCCTCGAGGTGCTCCCTGGTTATAAAATTTTTTCTTTGAAATTCAGTGTAACATTTTAAGATGGTCCCTGGATATCTAAAAGATATTCTAAATTAAGGACCCACCCCATTTCATTGAACTCAACTAGATAACTGCTTCGTAGAATGTTAATAATACAATTATTCACAATAATAAAGGAATTAAAAAGGCATTACATCAATAATTTTTTATCATTTTTGTAGAAAAAGCTCCTCCTGAAACTTTCTTGGATATCTTGAAACTTACGTATGTTTTCTCAAGAATATCATTGACAATTGGAGTAGTTACTCAATTCAACAGCAGATCACAATACAACCTGTAATGGTAACCATGAATGCTTTCTGATCAGATTTTAAAGCAGGCATAGCGATCACATCATTTAAACATACTTTACAAAAATTGAAGCTGAGCAGACAGAATGAATGAACAATCAACACATTGTAAAAGAGGGATAGTTCCAACAGAAGCCCTCTAATACATTATCATTCAAAAAAAGTGCTGAACTGGCACACGTTTCTATTTTGTCTCAGGTTAGCTAACCTACAATAATTCTTTCGGCCCTAGGCAAATGCCTAATAATAAACTTGAACAAAAGTCAAAATAATTATCCTTATCACTTATAACTTAAGTTGCAAAAATAATTCTTATTTGTGCCTATTAACACAATCATCCTTCATTATCATATTGAACCATGATTACCATTTTAATAGATTATTATAATCATAGCAGTGACCTGTAAGTCTGGGGGCCAGCACAGCTGATCTTGCACACATCGCAGTAGTGCAGCTGCTGTGGTCGTGGCGCAGGTTTCTTCTGGTTGTGGCGGATGCCTCCAAACTGGTGGCCTTTCTTGATGGTCTGCCATGTATTGCCACCTGCCTTCACCCCGGCTGAAGCAGCTGCCTGCACGGTCTGCTGCATGTACAGGCCTGTGGTCCCTGCCATGGGTAAAGCTGATTCACAAGATAGCTCGTAGCTTCTTAGTAGATTAAAAGTATTCAACTGTTTTATTGTGACATTAAATGAAAAATAAACAGAAGCCTTACACCTTATCCTTTGAACAATCTTTCCAACTACTAGAACTGCACGAGGCTACCGATAAATTCATGGTTATCATTGAAATCAGAGATGCAAGGCAGAAATTCAACCCTAAAACAGAATTACAGATCTGAATAAACGCAACACCAACCCTGCATACCACCCTCAGCAGCACCCCGCATACCACCCTCAGCAGCACCCTGCATACCACCCTCAGCAGCACCCTGCATACCACCCTCAGCAGCACCCTGCATACCACCCTCAGCAGCACATGTCCTGATACTAGTCACTGATCAAAACTTTTAATGATGACAATATAAGAAGCCAGGCATTTCACAAATAAAAAAAAAATACAATAGGATAACAAAGAAATCTTAATTTTGGCATTAAATGAAACATCAAAGTTCTTCCAGGTGATATTGGACAATTGGAGACAATTTTAAATCAATCTTTATTTCTTACAGAACTTAAGACCATTTCAACCATTTAATACCAAACCTTTCAAGGAAAGGTTTGGAAATTATACATACATCTACATATGTTCTTGCACACTTCAAATTTAGTTTTTCTTTTTCCCCAACATATTGTAGAATGTGTTTCAGTGGTCAATGTTCATTAATACAATCCATATTCAAGTTATATGTTACCACCTCCATTTTAATATGAATTTTGTACATTTTAGTTACTCTTCTCAGCACATTTATATAAAGTACAGCTGATAAAGCAACAGCTACGGTACTGCTCATGTACTGGGAAATTTCACTTGCATAATTTTAGAAGAGATACAGATAATATATAAGAAGAATAATTCACCTTTATTAGCGGCAGAGGTAGACTGTGCCGTGTATGATGTAGTGTTGTATGGAGCAGGGGATGCAGATGTCACGGAGTAGCCTGCAGCATAGCTAGTCTTTGGAGCTGCAGCGGCCACTGTACTTGGCCTTAGTGCTGCATCTGGCAAATATTTGAGTAATTTTACCAAATCAACAATATTTTGCAAGGAAATGTTTACAATTTATCAAGCTAATATTGACACTAAAATGGCAATTTTGCTCAGTGTAGATTTATAAAAATGGGTTGGCCAAGTCATTAAGAAAAACTCACTCTGGTAGTGGGTCTCTGCTGCAGTATAGGGGGTAGCCACAGTGGCTGCAGCCGCAGCAGCAGCAGCAGCTGCAGGCTGTCCATAGTAAGTTTTAGTGTCATACACAGCGGCAGCAGCAGCAGCCGCAGCGGCCGCTGTGGGCTGGGTGGGAGGACGCGCTGTGTAGCCATAATCATAGGTGGTAGATGGGGCTGGGTAGCTGGCAGCAGCATGACTGGTTGCAGTTGGGTAGCTACCATCATAAGTTGAAGGTGCTCGCTGGGCTGTGTATGTGCCAGCTGCTGGAGCATGGCTCACGGCATAGCCCGTCTGGCCTGTCTGGTACGCAGCTGCATTTGCAGCACTGTCAAAAAGTAGCAAATGAATATTTATTGGAATGACATGTTAATAGATAAAAACTGAAGTCTTAAGGCAAAATATGTAATAGGAAAATACATGCAATTCAATGCAATGACTGTCCTAAATGAGAAAAATGTGTATAAAAGCCATTTGTATCTTGTTCAAAAATTGTATGCAATATGTCAAATCTTGAATTGCTTTGCAGGATCTACCTGACCTCGGTTCACAATTACTGGTGCTTGCAACATGTTAAACTCATCTGCCTGATCTGACTCCAAAAGACCTCAATATAGTAAGTCAGTCATCAAAGATACATACCGTAACTGATTTACACTAATTATATCCGTTATTCCACTCATATGTTCAAGAACCCCAAAAATTAACCATCAAATCAATCATCATTATTTTCAACATTAAATTTTTGCCAGCGCAAATATCTATTTCAAATCAAAAGAAGAACTACTGGTGGTAAACCGGCTACAAAAACGCATTGCTCCTGAAAATTTAGAGCTCCCGAATGAACCATTGTTCTACCCAAATTTTCAACATAAAATAGAACTAACAAATTTGGAAATTGCAACTTATGAAAACTTGCACAATGTGTATCTTGTTAAAAAATTGCATGCCAAGTGTTTCTAGTTCTAATGTTGCTCATCTCAGATGATACTTGGAACTGGAAGTCTAGCTTTCAGATTAGGATGTTATCATTCCATTAAATGATAGTTTAATTGAGATCAGATGAGAACTAAATGAAAAAGTCTCAGATCAATGGTATATTAGGTTCATGTTGATCACAATATATGCAAATATTTATCACAAATTAAATTAATTAAAAATTTGTTATGATATAAGTGTCAAGTTTAAAAGCAAAGAAAATGGACAGTATTTGACAATGTAGTTCAAAATATTGTTAAGGATAATATGGGCAATTTTGCTTTATCTCCTCTTTATAAATGGTAATTTAGAGAATCAAATGACGTTATGGATAATAGGCTAGTCAATAATAAATTCAACTCTCAGTCTCTCACATGCTCACATTCCGAAAACTACAAGCAATAGTATGCCTTTTTATTTATCTTTCATGGAAGAAAATAAACAAGGGTCATAAAAAGGGTAACTTTGATTGAAAGCATAGCTAGCACAGTGCACAAGTATTTTCATCTTTTGCATGGGTGGCATCTGCCCAATTCTCCAGAATGTTGGCTACTTTAAAACAGGCAAAAAAATATCTAGGCTACCATCTCCTTCTGAGCTGCAACTACTTTTACAAACATTTATAGAGCCACCACAGAATTTCCACCTGAAAAATTAATTCTTATCAAATAATTTAAAAAAGAGCATACCTAAGTTGGTTGCAATATTTCAATAATAATGAAAATATGTCAATCAGAGGCTTGGAGCCAAGAGATTTAATAAACAAGTACAAAAATTCAATTTTGTCTTCAAATCTAAATAGATATCCATAAGATTTTTCCTTCATTCATTTTATTAATTTTACTTAGGCCTACTTTAATTACAGTTATCAAGACATTTCAAATTGCTTATCTTGTCATGAGAAATTTGGAATACTACCTATAAGATAGAATTCTTCAACAATTACAGTTTCATGCGTAATTTTCCAAAAACTAAGGAACAGGGAGAAAAATGTGCCATTTCTGTGTGATCTGCAGTCTGTACCATAAAAATTAGGCAAGTCTCAAAGGCCAGGGCAGTGAGTGAAATTGTTCACCCAGTCAGTGTGGAATTCTGTATAGGTAATATATTCTCATGTCAATTTAAGAAAACGTATCGAAATACCAACCCTACCACCGTGTTACACCACCTTCCACTGCAATGAAAATTTATAAACTGAGCTCATTGGAAACTACTTAGCGTGCTTCCGAAATCGCGCGTGGTTTGAAATCCAATCCCGTGTTGCCAACGACTAATCAAGTTAACTAGTCGTTTTTCTGGAGGCTTGCGGACACATTTTTGCAATGAATACGTTCTAAAATAAAAAAAAAAACACATCCAGCTTCATAAAAAATTCTCACGATTGGACAACACCCACAAAGTTTTTGATTTCACACAAAATTATGAGATAAACTTCCACTCTTTCATTGCTTACATTCACATGGCGTTTTCTGTTTACTTCTCACAAGACGGTGTCACACACTTATGTTTTGGTTGTGTCTAGTTTGATTTCACAATAAATAGACTTGATTCACATTCCATTCTGAGATTTAAATGATTAAAAGTTTTTTTTTAATTATAAAAACCTATTTATACATTCCAGATTTGAATTTTTTGCCCTATTATGTTGAATTTGTCTTGATAAATTCACTTCAAATTCTGAATGATTTTGTCTGCCATCCCGCATTTTCGAATGTTTTGTGTCTTTTAGAAAATTTTCGTTGTTTAACATGGGAAACTATTTCATTATATAAAACATAGAGCACGTACCATATAGTGCATTAATAATACAAATGTCTCTTATACACATCTA